GTGTGTGTGTGTGTGTGTGTGTGTGTGTGTGTGTGTGTGTGTGCGCGTGCGCTCTCTGCTGGCTAAATGAAACAGGATCCTGGCTCGTCTGCTCGGTTCAGGCTGAGGATGGATCAGCTGCAGATTCCAGAAATAACATGCAGGGGATGTAACTGGAGTCAGAATGTGGCTGGTAGCACTATGCTAATCTGCAATGTCACATTATAACAAAATAACATGACACGCGTGATTACATAAACAAAGGTAACGCAATATTACACTTGTGGTGTGCACGGTGTTTACGACAACGGCGATGGAGCCAACACGTGGGCGACAAAATGACACTTCAGAGTCTGTTAGTCATGAAAAGTTGAACCAAGTGTGTGAGAGATCTCACCACTGATTCAAGTAGAAGCAGAAAATACAAGATCATATATATGTTTTATAAATATATTTAAAAATGAAGTTATCATCAGAAACAACTGAGGTTTGCTCCTGAGTGAATGTTTACGTCTCTATGAGCGATATATTGAAATATGTTGAACTTTTGTTATATTGATGAAATTAACATTGCAGGAATTCTGTCACTCAGCGTTTACGACCAATAACTCTGAGGGACATAAAAATCCGACCAGAGTAGTGAAAAAAAAAAATCTAAATGTTATTCGGATTCAAATCTTAAAAAAGGTTTTTCAGCACCGACAAATGAAGCTGTTGACAGGAAGCACATTTTCTTTGAGGAGGTGTTAAATGCAGGTTTAACTCTTCTAAACTCGAAGTGATCCTGACTTAATGTCAAGCTGATTGGCCGGGCCTGGGTTTCCCACACCCCCTCTTAGCACTCAGATCAGGTTCGCTCCGAGGTCTTAGGGCAGAAACACACTTGCTCAGACGACTCATGGGACGTTCAGGGCTGCGGCTTTTCACCAGCGCGGAATGTCACTCACTCAACTGCTGTCGCTGTTGATCTGTCTGCATCTGCCCCTCTATCTCTCTCACCGGATACTTCCCGTCTTCCTCCCTCTCTCCGACTCCCTCAGTCACCATGAAGGGGTTTAGGTTGCCGGTTGTAAGCCAGGGAAATGTTTTGTGTGTGAATCACAGTTAAAAACAATCTGTTGGCTCCTCTCTTCTGTTCAGCTGTGATTTCACTTCCGGTAAAACACATTTTTAGTGGCGAGAGTGTTACCAGCAGGGTGATGACGATATGTCGTACTCACTGTGTACCTCAGTGAGACCAAAATAAGATTTGCAATGAATGTGTGTACAGTATAATTACGCACTGATACTACCTCCCCGTATGGGTGGAAGTTTTCCGCTTCATCTCGTCTTTGTTAATATTCCACATGTCTCCATTTCACCGACTGAAGTCTGACCTTACTGTGCTAAGTGTCTTTTATTATTATTAAGTATTTCGTCTCCAGGTCCAGTCCTCTGCTCCGAGGATGAGACGACTCTGGTGAAAACTCTGTTCACTGGTTACAACAAGGTTGTTCGTCCCGTGAATCACTTCAGTGAAGCCGTGGTCGTCACCGTGGGGCTGCAGCTAATACAGCTCATCAGTGTGGTAAGTGAGAGACTTTGGCAAAAGCAAAAATCAATTACCTAATTAAAGCAGCGTGACATTTTGTTCCCTGTATTTTCCCCCTGAGGCTTTGAGACTTCTTTCTTGTTTCTACAAAAACAGAAAAGTTAGTTTTTTCATAAAGATAGAGATCAATAATGATTTATTCTGTTGCAGCTCTTTCTTATCTTAATCTGTCTTAACCCTGCATTTCTTAAAAGAGACTTTACTTGACACAAAGAAATTGCAGTTTGTTTGTTTTTTTCTTCGAATGACTTTTCCCTTCACTTGAAACTTAGTTTTGCAGGAACAGATTTTTAAAAAAGTACAACTTCGGCCATTTTAGTTGAGCAAAAACTGCAGCTTTGTACTATACGGCATTACTTTCCACCGCTGGTATGTTTACTGCACCATTTATAAACTACAGCATTAAAAGATGTGATTAAAATGAATAAAGTCCAAAAAGCAAGGTGTTTAGAAACTCGGGAAGTAACCGATCATAATCAAGAAACAAAGGAACGATCCTGAAGTGAAGCCAAGCTGAGAGGAAGACTGAAATACAAAACACATGTACGTGTGATCCAAAAGTTCCACCGATCAACAACATTCCATCAACAACCGAAAGAATGACATTCTATTAATCCTCACGTCAGGGTAGTTACACTTTGTGATGGCATGGCAACCATCAGTCAGTGGGACACTGTAAGGACCAAAGCAGCCTCTCACAAGATGAAGCACAGCTTCAGTGATGGCACAGCGGCCACAACACACAAGCAGCACGCAGATTAAAGATAGTCGCTCTTACCTTGTGTAGTTCTCCTTCTGCGCTTTTAGCTTCAGTCTGCAAAGAAGGCGTCCAGAGCTGAAATTCACTGCGTCACATACAAACAGCGTGTGATGGCATGGCAACCAAGAAATGCAAAACAGTACATCTGTGCACCGTCAAGGAGACTTTACATGAATCCAACCTCACTTTGATAATGAGAACACAATGGAACAAGATGAAGTATGAAGGTCTGGTGTTGGCACAGAGGCAAACAAAACAAACAGAATTCATAAAACACAATAAAGACACCACGGCAGCCAAAGTCATGTGACAGTAACTCGTGTGTGTTCATAAATCCAGTGAGAACACACGGGATCATCACAACATGTAAACAGTGATGGCACAGCAGCCACACAACTGCAGCACAACACAAGCTGAGTGCAAATACACACCACACACAACCATACTTTGTTAATGAGAACACAATGCAACGTGATGAAATACGGCACCGTGATGGCACCGTGGTCCCAACACAGAGTCCAACAAACTACTTGTTGCTCTTTGCCTTGTTGTTCCTCTTCTGCATCTAAATCATGAGACACTTCCATGAGTCACACACAGACGCCATGTGATGGCACATCAGCCAAATTACGCACAGTAGTCGACCATGTGGGTGATTTACGCACAGTGAAGAAACCGAGGCGACTTTACGCTTGAAGTCAACCTTAAGACAATTCAACGATATGACAATAATGAAAATGACAAGTCATTGGCACAACAGGTTCAGGGTTGGCACGGCGGCCACAACACAGCACAACATAACACAAGCTAAATGCAACAAACATTTGTTCTGCGTCAAACTGTTTCAAACATATTCAAAGATTCGGGCCTTTCGGATCAATAACTAATAAACGACACGTCCTTAAAACGCAAGCATAACTCCACGAAACACTTTCTGAACCCTGGGTCACACACAGACGCCATTTGATGGCATGGCAGCCACATTACGCACAGCAGTCGACCATGTGGGTGATTTACGCACAAGGTAGAAACCAAGGTGACTTTACGCATGAATAGTTTGTAGGTGAGAACACAACGCAACACGGTGACAGAGACGTTAACCACAACATGGTCTCAGGTTCGGTGATGGCACGGCGGCCACAACACACGCGCAACACACACGCAGCGGTGCGGATTAAAACACGCGTAACTCACTGTTCGTCGCTCTCCTTCTGCGCTTCAACCTCAGTCAGTGGAGACGAGCAGATGAAATTCATCCTGTAAAAGTTTCATCGACAACACTCTGAATATTCCAGCTTCGGTCGCAGGTGAACAACCAGCGACAAACACCAGCAGCGGTGACCTTTGACAGTGAAGACGTCATGACAGCGCCACACACGTGGAGCCAAACCACCTGGAAGCGCCCCCCGGTGGCTGGCCGCAATACACAGGTCACATACCCTGGCTCCTCCATGTTAGCAGAGGGAACATGGAACAAACTAATCAGTCAAAGTTTCTCAAACATGGTCGTTTCAGGTAGTTTAGGTGAAATATTCTGTATCCAGGATATTTGAGGGTCACTTTTGTACAATCAGAGAAAAGAAGAGACACGTTGTCGATCTTTGTTTACAGTTAAAGTTAAAGTTTATATCCGTTAACTTTTCTCTTATATAACCATGTGTATTATCTTGAAGATGTAAAAATACTTCTTCTGTCTTTCCTGCATCTCTCAGGACGAAGTGAACCAGATTGTGACCAGTAACGTTCGTCTCAAACAGGTACAATGAAAAAAATCCTCCTTCACCAGTAAAAGTACCGTGTTCATGTCGTTCAAGTATCAAATGTAATTTAAGTACTTGTGCAAATGTATTTATTTGAAAATAACTGAATTACAGTATTAACTTTGTTCATGGAAGCAGCATTTAATGTTTTTAAAGTGATGTAGGTTTTTACGGCCTGACAATAAGTTTCAGAAAAGCAGATTTGAAAAGTCTTGACATGCAGTCTATGGTACAGAAGTTACTAAATGAAAAATGTAATGTTCTAAACGTCCCCTCAGCAATGGTTAGATGTGAACCTGAAGTGGAATCCAGACGATTACGGAGGCATCAAAAAGATCCGAGTACCTTCAACCGACATATGGAAACCGGACCTGGTGCTATACAACAAGTAAACTCACACGCTGTCTTCTCTTATGTACATATATTCAAACACACACCTACATCCCCCTTTACTTTAACCTCTCCCCTTCTCCGCAGCGCTGACGGTGACTTCGCCATCATCCATGAAACCAAAGTGCTGCTGGAGCACACAGGACTGATAACGTGGAACCCACCGGCCATCTTCAAGAGCTACTGTGAGATCATCGTCCTCCATTTCCCCTTCGACCTGCAGAACTGCAGCATGAAACTGGGAACCTGGACGTATGATGGACTGCTGGTCGCCATCAACCCAGTGAGTGGCACTAGTTTTTACAGAATGAAGTATGCAGACAAGTTCTGAATGATTTATTTTTAAATCATA